ATTTCATTTAACAGATTATTCAATTCTTAAATATTATTTGGTGTAAAAGAAAACTCATAAATATTATTAAGTTATTTAATTAAAATTTAAAAAATAAAAACATGCAATAACTAATTTAATTACATTACAGAAATTAATGATCACAATGTATAAAGGAGACAAGTAAATCGGATCTCTGATAACTTACGAAAGCATGATGTTTTCATGCTAGTCCGCATGTCTTTGATTTGATTTTCATTTGTATTTACTTATTATGAATGAAATGATATAAGTGTTCCCACTCAAATAAAAAGATATAATTACATTAAAAAAATTAATTTTGGTATGATTTTACGTTACATAAATTAATTTCTGTAAAAAAAAAAGTAAATAAAAAAGGGTAGGGGTAGGAATCGGACACAAATTAGAGGAATCTCCGGACAAAGCAGTACTAAAGTGGTATGGAAGATCACGACTTTATTCGAAAGTCGAAACCATCCAAAACACAAAAACAACTAAAGCATTCTACTTTAAAAAAAAAATGATTTTGGCAAAGTTGTGTTTGTTTTGGCAATAAGAGCGAGATGAACCAAAGCTTCACAGAAAAGCGGTGAGTCGGTGACCCTACAACGCAAAGTGCTTTCTGCTTTGCTTTTAGTTTATAAGAAATCCATATTATTTTAAAAATAAATATATATATTCCATATGAGCGTGTGAGCATATCAGTAATTTTCTCATACACTATAGGAATATTTTTAAATAAAAAATTAAGAAGAATGTAAATTTTATTTTTTTAAATTTGCATAAATTAGAGAAAATATTTTAAAACTAAATAAAGATAAACTATTTTTTGTCCATAAATATAATTCACGAGTGTGTTACAGGATGAATTTCATTGGCTAAATATTATTTGTATTAAAAATAAACTATTTGTATTAAAACATATTATTCTTATTGTAAAAAACCCGTTATTCTTACAAATGTGGTGTGTTAAAATTTTAATTTTTAATTAAAACTAATCGAGAGAATGACAATCTTAAAATTTAATGTATTTAGTAATTTTTTATTTAAAGATTGAATTGGTTTTCATATATCAAGTGCAATTGTCGATCTTGAGACTGATTTGCTGGTATGCTTATTACTACAGTCACATCACAGTGTCTCGATTTCAACACTGTACACCAAATATTTACTGTACTCTATAATCACTGGGCTGAATCCACTGCATTTTTTTTTTTAAAGATTTCAAATGTAAATTAAAACGAATTATTAGTAATAATATTCGAGAGAAATAGTAGATTATACATACATAAATAAAATAAAATAAAATATTAATTTTTTTGGTAAAGAAATAAATATTTAATTTGAAAACGGCACAAGATTTTTTATAAGAAAATAAAATAAAATAAAATAAAAATTCATTAGAAAATGAGGAATATGAATGTAATTTATTTCTTAAAGTATAAAAATGATTGCTATGGCCACGCGGCGTGGGCTGTGATTGTGAAACGCTGTATTAAATTCGATTGTTTTGAATAAAAAAAAAGTAGTTCGTGTGAATAATAAATTGACGCACTTCGCCCGTTCTAGACACACACAACAGTCTACTGGTTAGTCACCTCTCAAATTTCTCAGACATTTCTTTCATTATAATTTGTGTTTCAGCTGAGATCACATGATTTACTCTTGTGGTGTTGTGTTTATTTGGTTTAATTATCTTGAACCCAGAACCCCATTCTTCTAAACGTGACATTTTGTTCATATTTTCTGATCCTAAGAGGTTTTATTTACTGTTGATGTTGGTGCTATGCTCCTAACAATGCCATAAGCTTGGTACTCTACCTCTTTGTATCTTGTTTAAGTCTTAAAACAAACTGATCTGGACCAGTTATCGGGCTTTCCCATCTTCTTCTGTGACATTTTTGCTTGCTTAAAATTATGATATTATGCATCTTTAGTAACTAAATCATATCTTTTCACTTTTTGTTAATGCAGAATGACGGGGTTTAATTTGCTTGTTTTTGTTAAAGTTATAGTTTTTATGCACTGTAACTGTAAAACCTTTTTGGGAGATTCTGTTTAATTGTTTCTGGCTTGTGTTGCAGAAGCAGACACTGAATATGGCTGACTTGTTGGAATGGGCAAAGAAAGATAATCGCCGCCTGCTTCATGTGGTCTACCGTGTTGGTGACCTTGACCGCACCATCAAGTTGGTTTTTTGTGACATGGGTTCTTGTTAATTATTACGTTCTTTGTGTTCAATTAGATGCTTAAAATTTCCTCATTGTTCTTTCAGGTTTTACACAGAATGTTTTGGGATGAAGCTTTTGAGGCAAAGAGATATTCCGGAGGAGAAATATGCCAATGCTTTTCTTGGATTTGGCCCAGAAGAAACCCATTTTGTTGTGGAATTAACATATAGTATGTTACTCTAATAACAGTTTCCTAGCTGCATATGTGTTGATCAGTGGTTCTCTGATTATATGTAGTTTTTTGGTACAATGATACAGTTTTAATGTTTTTCTGTCAGTTGCTTAATATTTGCATGTGTTGTACTACATGTATTTTTTCTTGTAACTACTTAAGTATATTTTTCTTTCTGTCAGATTATGGGGTGACCTCGTATGACATTGGAGATGGCTTTGGACATTTTGCAATTGCAACTCAAGATGTAAGACAAAATCCACTTTTAAAAAAGTTTGAGTATCTATTTAAGCAGTGAATGAACTGAATTGTTTATTGCTTCAATTTTTTAGATTTACAAATTGGTTGAACACATCCGAGCCAAGGGTGGAAACATCACTAGGGAGCCTGGTCCAGTTCAGGGTGGGACTACTGTTATCGCCTTTGTGAAGGATCCTGATGGTTACACTTTTGGACTCATCCAAAGACCTACAGTCAATGACCCATTTTGTCAACTAATGCTCCGTGTTGGTGATTTAGAGCGCTCAATTACCTTTTATGAAAAGGTAACAGTCCATTTTGTTTGTGTTCTTGTTTTAATATAGTTTAGTCATGTTAAAACTCAACTATTTCAGGTTTCTGTTATGTTATGGCTTTTAGTTAGTTACAAGGGAATTCTTTTGTGAAGTGTGAACTTTGTTGCACAGTTCTCTTCTTATTCATTTCATTCCGTCTTTATTGAATTGATGAATTTTTTCGGTGGGTTACAAGACTAGAAGATCGGCTAACTGTGTTGCTGTGGTTTGCAATTTGTAGCAACCACAGAATGACTGAAACTTGATCTTCTACTTTATATGGAACATATTTGGATTAGTTACCAACAAAGGACCTGGAGTAGGAATTGATAGCTTTTGCTTGTGAAGCACAAAAGTAGAATCACAAAACTGCTTTGATGAATTATAATTTTTTTTAAATCAAATGCATTTTATTAACTAAGGCAATTTTCCTTTGGGTCATATTTTGTACAGGCTCTGGGCATGAAGTTGGTGAGGAAGGTTGATAAACCTGAGTACAAGGTGAAATTTCTTGCCTATATCTTTGCAATATACATATGCTTACTAGCTGGAACATTTTTCATGTGAGTCATTCTGGTAACTAGCAACATGTTGCATGTCCTACAGTACACTATAGCCATGCTCGGGTATGGAGAGGAGCACGAGACAACTGTGTTGGAGTTGACATATAATTATGGTGTCACTGAATACTCTAAGGGAAATGCTTATGCACAGGTTTGTTAATAGGTTGTATTACCTGATCTTCATGAAGCCCTAAACTGGCTTTCTATACTTTTTTCAGTTTCTGCACTCCTTAATGATAAAAATTGGTGTGCCATATATAACAGATTGCTGTTGGTACTGATGATGTATACAAGAGTGCTGAGGTGGTTGACCAAGTCATACAAGAGGTTGGAGGAAAGATTACTCGCCAACCAGGGCCAATTCCTGGCCTTAATACAAAAATCACTGCGTTTTTAGATCCTGATGGATGGAAAACTGTAAGCCTCCTATCCGAACCTCCAATATCTAGTGTCATGTAAACTTAATGTTTGAAAAGGGAGAGGCTGGGGTTCTAGATTCTGTCTCATGACCTAAACAAACATGGATAATATGCTAACCTCTAAGTGGCTGGTTTAACGGAACTTGCATTATTTTGAGAACAAACCTTTTGTGCTTTTGAAACTACTTATGCTGGATATGAGCAAAAACTATTGTTCTAAAGAGCTAGATATGAATTGATATATGATCATTAATATAGAACAGAAAACATCTCATGGTAGGTTCTTAACACGTGATGATTCTTTCTTAACATGTGAACAAAGAAGTGAAGTGGCGTACACTTTCAACATGTTCATCATGGCCCGTATCAGCTCCTATTTTGTTATTCTTTCGTCGTATTAATAATTAGTTTGTATGATTCATTTTGTTTGAACTTTGTAGGTCTTGGTTGACAATGTTGATTTCTTGAAGGAACTGAAGTGAAGGGCGAGCTTTACGCGAAATAAATAGTTCTGTTGCTTATGTATGGCTAAGTTGTCTCGCAGTGTATCATTATTATGTGTGGTATCAGTGTACCAGTCATCAACATGTTTGCTTTTGCTTGCTTTAGTGAGGTTCTTTTGTTGACTTGAAAGCACAACTGAAACCTCATCTTGCATGCTACCTATGATTAATCTACTAATTTATCATATATCGAGTCCTGATGAACAGTGTTTTAAAAGTGAGTTTATGCAATGGTTTAGAAAAGTTGCTGAGTTCGGATCAATTTGTTCAATTGTATAATCGTTTAAATCAAATATTAAATTGGTTGATGTCATGAGTAGAGATAAGTTTAGTTGATAACTTAAATAACATGACAAAGTATTATTTTTGAGTTTTGATTAGACTGAAAGCTTGAATAGATTTTAACATGAATAACATAAAAAAATAGATAGCTTGTATTATAATTTTCTTTAGAAGTAACAAATAATCAAAGTGGGAACCACATCTTAATCACTACACCAACTTGATAAAAAATGTAATGGGGTCATATCATTGTGGATTGATTGGTAGAGCACTTAATGGAAGAAAATTTTTGGTGGCAAGCCACTCATATATTTGCTATAATTCAATAGAGTCGTTATTTATATACCTTGGTCATTAAGTTTGCATCGCAATTCCTTTTATTATAAAGGGTCTAAAATCTAAGAGAAAGAAATTACACAATGACGATGCCCGTAGCAGCATTCACGTCGCTGTCAAAACTATGATGATACTCCACAGCACCTCCTTAGGAGATGAAAAGAATTTTGAAAGAGGTGAGTGGGGCAATGCATTTAAAGGATACTTTCTCCCCATGTTACTGATTGAAGATGAACATCTGGTAGTAGCTGCTTATGTTATCAGCAAAATGAACAGCATTGACTGTTGCTCCTAGTTAAGGCACTAACACTTTATAGTTCTGTATCTATAGCATAACAACCAAGAATTCGAAGAAATCTAGCAAATTCCTGAAATGGAAATGAAATAAATAAATAAACAGATGTTAAAAACAATTAGAGATAGCATTTAATTTGAAAGCTACCTTTGAAGAGTCCTCAACTAGTCAACTTGGTTAAAGAGTTAGTCAACATAGACAATAAATCAATCTTACTTTTTTGTAAAAACAGCGAGGACCGCTGGGTTTTGTGATTATGCACGAATTATGAGTAGTTAAAGGATTTTTAACAATGTGCTGCGCAACTGATATGGAAAAAGAGTTATAGTTAGTAAAGTAAATTTATCAAACTGGTGCGCTGCTTAACAAAACAAAAACGGTTTCCTAGCAGGATTCTGAAATATGCAAACGGGTCAAGCAAGTTGCGAGAAACAAGATTTCTTTTCTCTACCATATTTTTTTTATTTACAAAACTCAAATTTAAGATGTTATTTAGAGAAATAGAGTCTAATATTACTCGAATAAATTGTTGGTGTAAATTGACATATTTAATACTAAAAGTAGTTAGTATAACTAACTCAATCATTATTAATTTTAATTATTTTTCTTAACTACTAAAGTATTTCTACTTTTTTTTATCATCTAATAAAAGTACTTTTTACAAAATTTGTCATCCTTTTGTTAGTTTCTAAAACTCAATATTGACTAATTAGACTCATTATTTATAAATAATAAAAAACACGTATTATTAAATAATTATACAGATACACCTGCATAAGAAATTTATAGATTCTGACAAAAAGATAAATAAAAAATATGACTCAATAAGGAATAAAATGAATAAAATATTAAACTCGAGTTATGAGATAGCGGGCAGACCTGCAACTGTCCTAAAGCATTTTGTGCACGAGGTTCTGCCATAGAAGCTTCAATATCAATGTAGAAAAGGTAGTCAAAGTACCTGCAACCAAAAAAGTTTTATGCCAGAATTATAGTTTTGCAATACACTTCCAAACAAAATACCAGAGTCATTATATCATAATCATGAAGTAAAACTGAACCCCGTTTCAGAACTCTTTCCTTTCAGTTTTTGAATCGAAGGCTTGGAATTTTTTAAAGCTTTTTATAATAAAGCTATGATATATATCGGTGGGTGCTTGGAAGTGTTAATGGAAACACTTATCAAAATAAGTTTTTTTTTCAAGTTATTTCAGTAAATTTCATAGTCAACCTTACGAACAAGTTCTTATTAAATAAGTGTTTAATTAAGCTTTTTACCCAAATACACCCTTGATAATATAGTACTTTGACTCTCTAGGGATTTCAACATATCATGAATTATGTCATATGCCCTCCCATTTTTACTCTAACAAGCTTCTTGCCCATCAGTTGTATACTCCATCCACACTCCCATTATCATCATAAATGTTCACAGGATAAATTATGAAGCATGAACCACAGGTCAACTTGCATTTAAACTAAAAAAATTACACCCAGAATTTTACTGAGGCAAATCTTGAACAGTAAACATTACTTACTTAGCAGTCCCTTCATTTAAATCATTCACAACCCTTACCGGGCGCTGCTTCAGTGGACGACTCTCTATCTGAATTTACAAGAAAGAAATAAGAGTAATGAATGTGTTTTAATTTCAAAAGACCAATTTCAATTAATATAACCCACCTTTGACAAATTAATATTTCTCATAGCAAAAACTGCCAAGGCTTTGAACAGTACACCAGGACCTTCTTTTAGACTGAAAACAATGCTAGTCTGAGAGAAAAGTCATGAACTCATCAGCAAATTCCTAAAAATATAAATGTAAACACCTAAAATTTGAATACCTTATAGGGCCTGTCAGTTCCTGGAATTCTAGGCTCCCTTGCAAGGATCAAGAAACGAGTAATATTCTCATCTTCATCCTATCAAAATTGCAATGAATCAGCTAAACTTTAATCTTGACTTGCCAGCAACTACAAACATGTATTTATGGAGAAAGGATTTTATTTTATTTTTAAAGTATATGTATTCCTCAATGAATAATGCAATCATGAAAACTGTATTATATTTTCTTTGAGCAGCCATCACAGAGCACCAGCTGATAAACTAAAAATATAATGTTGAATACTATGATCACACACAATACAACAATACATTTGCTATCCCAAATACAGAAGTCTCTTACAAAATTTTCTCTTTCCACAAACTGCAAATAGCTACACCCTCCCTAATTACACAACCTATTACCAAATATATACTCCTAATGCATAACAGTTATTTTCTATGCATAATTGCCATCATGCAGTTTCTAATATGGAACTGCTTTCTAATAGACTTGCTAATACAAAACAAAGTTATTTTCTATTACATGTACTCCTAATAATCAGCTACCTCCAATTCATTAATGAATCCTTTCCTTACTAACTTGGATCTTAGTTTCCATCATTACTGGCTGCTGAAAAATCCTCCTTGTCCTCATGGATTAATGCATGAAACTAGTTCTTTCTCATTATTTTTATCCATTCAATAGCAATTATTTCTCCATCTTCATGTAGGGCTTCATTATCTCTCAAAATTACCAAACTTAGTTGTTTCTCTGCCAACTGATGTAAGGGATAGAACTTTTCTCCACACATAAAACACAAACCCTTGCTTTTCCTTTCCATCAAATCTTGGTATGTTAGATGGCGTAGGCCTTTACTTTTCGTGTTAAAATTATACCTATCTCTAGTCACTTTTTTGCTCAAAAGATGCTGAAGTGGAAAGACAAATTTTATCATGCGAATCTCTTGGCTTACTCAATCCTATGTTTTGATTTTTTCCTCAATTCAATTTGTTGCTCTCTTTAGATAAGGCAGACACAGAACTTGAAACTGTGACGGGTCCCATGTTGCTTCCTCCTGTGCTGCTTTTCAATGGCCAAACGCCCACAAATGCTGAAACTGTTACCACCATTCCGCCACCCACAACTACCCACAGGTGAAGACATATGTGAAGTTTCTACGTCTAATTACCGTGCCAATTGCATGGCCTGAGCCTGGATTGAGGTTTGAAGGTAATGTGGTTTCTTTTCAGTTTCAAGTCACAAGTTTCCTACAAAATAACCCAAGTATTGGTCCTCACACCTCTGGCATTTCCTCAATTGAGAAGACAAGAATTTGAGAGCTTTTATATAGTCATCCACTGTCCCTGTTTTCTTCAAATTTTTCAACTCTTCTCAAGTATTTTCAACATTTCTCCTTCCAAACCTTGCAACCATGGCTATCTTAAATTTTTCCCTAGTCAAAGGTGCCTTGGTGTCTCTTAATAAATTGAACCGATGGATAACTCACTCATCCATACTTAGTGTTGTCAATGTAATTCTGTCACCATCACTTGTGTCTTGCACTTACGAATAGGTTTCGGCCCTTGTCATTCATCAAATGCGATCTTCTCCATTAAAAGTTAAGGTAGGCAGTTCCACCATTTTGACTATCATAAAATATTCATCGAAGTTGTGAGGACAATCTGAATTAGACCCATTTCCTGCAAAATCTATCTTTTTAAGGTTGAAACTTTCATGTTCTTCCTCCACATATTTTCCCAATACCTTCCTCATTTAGGTCAAACAACCTCTCAGCCATGGAAATTTCCATATTTCCTTTCTTTTTCTACCAAGCTAGCATTAATTTTGGCTCCAACCCTTCATGTTTTTCCTCCAACAAATACATATGCTCAATCACCTTAGTCATGCTGAAATGAAGAATTTGCTGGCTGTAAAACCTCCTCTTTTAGATCTGGCGGGTTGGAGCAAAATGATACAACACCAATCGATTAACTCAAAATATATTACTGGAGACTGAAATCACATAGAATACAACAATACACTTGCATTCCTAGAGACAAAAGTCTCCTACAGAGTATTCTCTGTCGACATACTGCAAATAACTACACCCTCCCTAATTACACAGCCTACTACCAAATATGGTTGATTGACCATATCCGGCAGTTCCCAAACTTATTTACATAAATGGGGTATATTTTAAACAATATACACTTTTGGGGCACTTTTTAACGGTGTCGCTATGGTCCATAGCGACACAGGTGACACGTGGCATTTTTGTAACTCCAGCGAAATCATGAAAACCATATTGATAATGTCGCTACAGCCTATAGCGACACAAAACAGCTTCACTGAAGTCGCTATAGCCTACAGCGCCACATATTTAATATAAAAAAGACAGTTTTAAAAAAATATAAGTAAATAATATAAAAAAGAGAATTTGTGAAAGTGGCGCTATGGCCTATAGCGACACTGTGTCGCTATAGCCCATAGCGCCACCCGTTTAAAAAATAAAAAACAGAAATAGAAAAAAAAAATATATAAAATAAAGAAAAAACAGAAAAGATAAATATATAAATATATTTTTTATGATATTCATAAAATAAATTAAAATGTGGGAAAAATTAATTTCTTTAATAATTTTATAAAAAAAACGTCAAAAATAGTGGCGCTATGGCCTATAGCGACACTGTGTCACTATAGGCCATAATGCCACTTTTATAAATATTTAAATAGATAAAAAAAAAAAAAAAAATATGTATAAAATAAAGAAATTATAGAAATAATAAATTTATAAATATAAATTTATATGAAATTGATAATATAAATTAAAATTTGAAAAAAAGAAACTAAGTTAATAATTTTAAAAAAATAATTTACTGGAATTAAATAAATTTTTGTAAAATAATTTACTAGAATGTTGAGTATATAATAATTTTTAACAGATATATTTTATTTAAAAATTGTGTATAGTGTATAATAAAAAATGAAAAAAATAAATTTTTTCTACGGATAGAATTTATTTATATAAATGGAAATAATAAAAAACACAAAAAAAATGAATTAGAAAATAATTTTTAGAAAAAAAACTAGTACAATAAATCTGGAGAAAAAAAAAAGACCCAATAACCCAAAAAAACGAAAATTTTGAAAAAAAAAAAGCTGGTGTCGTTACGGGCCATAGCGACACAAAGTCGCTATGGCCCACAGCGACATCAGCCTTTTTTTTTATTTTAATTTTTGTTTTTTTTTCTACCTAAAGTCGCTATTGGCTATAGCGACAAAAAGTGGCTATGGGACAAAAAGTCGCTATGGTCCATAGCGATATCAGCCTTTTTTTATATTTTAGTTTTTCGTTTTTTTTTACCTTAATTTTTTTTCTTTCAAAATTTTTGTTTTTTTTGGTTATTGGGTCACTTTTTTCTCCAGATTTATTCTACCAGTTTTTTTTTAAAATTTGTTTTGTAATTCATTTTTTTTGTATTTTTCTACGTTTTTTCCCTTCACTTATTTTTTTGCCCAGTTTTTTTTTTAAATTTACATATAAAAAAATATTAATACACTTAAATAATAAATTTTCTTTAAACTACATAATTAATTATTTTTAATTAAATTTATTAACAAATTACTGAAAATATATTTTTAATTATATTAAACAAAATACTTAAAATATAAATTTAATTAAATTTGTTTATTTTTGTACTTATTTAATTAAAAATGGTGTCGCTGCCCGTAGCAACACCTATTTTTCCTTTTTTCGTTTTTATATTTTATTTACTTATTTTTTCCACAATTTTTATAAAATTTAACATATTATAATATAATTTTATTTAAATTATTTAGTTTCTGTAATTTTAATTAAAAATTAAAAAACGCAAAATTGAAAATAAAACGTCATTATTGCAAAAAAAAAAATACAAAATGTGTGGCGCTATGGGCCATAGTGACATAGTGTCGTTATGGCCCATAGCGCCTCCTTTAAAAAATACATATAATTTAATTTATAAATTAGATTTTTAGAACACTTAATTTTATTTTTATAAATATATAATAAATAATTTAGTTTATTATTTTTATTTTACATTTCTATTATTTTCATTTTTTTTTAATTTTTTTTTACGGAGTGTCGCTATGGACTACATCATTTTTGTTAGTCCATTATCTGTGCTGGCGAAGCCTATAGCGACACTCATGTGGCTCATTCCAGCCCAACCAAAACCAAAAAAAAAAAATGCCGCGTGTCAACGGTGTCGTTATGGGCCATAGCGACACCGTTGTAAATAGCCCCAAAGGTGTAAATACTTACAAAACAGCCTCATTTATGTAATAAACTTTTAAAATAACCCCACTTTGATAAAAAGCCACCAAATATACACTCCTAAGTACGTATTTTCTATGTATAGCTGCCATCATGCAGTTCTAATATAAAATTGCTTTCTAATAGATTTACTAATATAGAACCAGTTATTTTCTATCACATATACTCCTAATAATTAACTACTTCCAATCCATTAATGGATTTTTTTTTTTAACTTAGATCTCAGTTCCCATCAAGCCATGTACATTTCAGCACCGTCACATATCAAGGCATTCTAGCATATTGCACTTTTCTTTGTATGTTACATTACATTACAGGCTTTTTCTCCAGCTTTACCGTCAAACTTAGAGCCTTATATACTTGACAAACAAACTACTTTCATATCATTGAGCCATAACATTTCAAAGACAAGTTTTCAAGCAGACAACTGATTGGAAAAAACAAGATATATGGCTTCCTTTTCATCAACATCTCGGTCCAACAAGATATAATCTTCCACAGAATCAAAACATGGGAAGGAGGGATTACTAGGGTTATGTTATGGTATTTGTCTATGAGATATATTATTCGAGAGGAGAGTTAATTATATTTTGTTTTTATCGGTTATTTACACATAACTGCACAATAATAAGATATTGTTCACTTTGAGCTTACATCCTTATAGTTTTGCTTTCAACCATCACCCAGAAGGTCTCTTATCAATGGAGTATGTCTATATTTTATAAACTTTTATTTCTCTTCTTATTATAACAATGTGAAACCTTATTTATATTTCAATAGGAGACACATGACAAATACAATGTACAAACGCTATCACCAAGCAAAATACAACATGTTCAAATTCATTTTAAGAAAATTATTAATTAGGGTAAAGCCCAATGCATTTTTCATTCTAAAAATGATTACCATGGTTCCTTTTACTCTCTCCCTCTTATAATAAGCGTTGTCCTAGGTTTTTTACACAAAGCAAGAAAAACAAATAAATAGATGAATGAGAATAATAATTTTATAAAATAACCTTATTATAAATCTTATTTTCTGAAAACAATGCAACACAGCGACAACATCCTAAACCAATATTATTAGAAGCATAAATGGAAAAAAAAATTAATATTATATTGAAAAGTTAAAATGACACTTATTTTAGGACTTGTTTTTTCTATTTACACAACACTTATTATAGGACAGACAGAGTAAAAGATTGGCACAAACCTCTAGAAAATATCAAATAAAAATTGTCCAATCCTATCTCAAAGGAAATCAATAAGTGGAAGAGGCATTAGCTCCTGACCCTTGGTGAAGATGATATCTAATGCAATAATTTGCATGCATTAAATTCCGTGTTGTGATAAAAGAAAAACATGAGCTAAGGCAATATACTCAATCTTCCATAACATGTAAAGGAAGTCTTACCTGAATTCTTTCTGCAAGAATGTCAAGCCCATACACTTTTCCAGCTCGGGAACTTGCAATAGCTCCAATATCTCTTGCACATTTTGAGGCCACTGTCTGTCCTCAAGAACGTAATTGTTAGGACATGCCAATGTACAACCTAATCAATGCTTACTTTAAGACAAAAAGAAAATTCAAAATAAACCTCAGCAGCAGTAGCAGTATCACGTGCACCAATCTTGAGAACACCTAAATCGCTAAGGAGTATCTCACATTGAGCTAAAGCCTGCATGTAAAATTATCATTTTGTAATATTTTTAAATTTCTTAATAAGGCTAGATATTTGGTTGCCAATAGGTATGCTTAGTTTGGCGACAGAGTCAGCTGTCTCAAAAGTCTGCAATCATAAAAAACCAATTAAAGACTTGAAAGTTGGCATGTTGAGGTTAGCCATTAGCAGAACAGTAAATATGATTGATGCAATCCAATAAATTGTACTATTGTGAAGTTGCTGCTATCTTAAGGCAGAATCATGCATACCCATTCACTTTGTTCAAATGGGAAACATAATTATATTTATTCACTCTTTACGACAACGGGAAAAACAGAAAAGAACTATATGTAATAACCAACCTGGGGATGACTGACAACAGCTTTGAGCTCCTCCTTTTTCACACCATGCAATCCCAAAAGGCAGTGGTTAACACGCATCTGCACCTCCCCAACAATGTGCAGCCTATGGCGAAGGAGTAAGTCATAATTGCGGTGGATGCTTCCACCAACAGAATTTTCAATGGGTAGAACAGCTTTATCCACTAACCACAATTCAACTGCCTGCAGAGAGGAGGAATACAAATAAATCACTGCAGTAGGTACGGTACCCATACACAGAGAAGATACAATAAAATAAGAAATGGAACCTTAAATGCAGCTTCAAAATTGTCACATGGCACAGTCTCACATTTTGGATACGCTTTCAAAGCTGCATCCTCACTATACGCCCCTGGAATTCCCTGTACGAGCCAATTGACTTGTTAGCAAAGGCAATAATGACATGAATCTTTTATTCGAAAAGAAACTATTAAGCATCATACCTGATAAGCCACGCGCACCATTGATCCATCCTTTTGAGAAGAGGAAATGTCAGTTAGGGTTAATGGCTCTGCAATTGTTGAAGTTACATAATTGTGATAAAAGGAAGAATTAAATAGTAAAGGTAATTACATCACTTACAGGCTACTGCTAGCATAAAAACATAAATTGCACCCATTATATTATAAAATTTTGTTTATCTGCTTGCATATGCTAGCATTGGTGCATAGCGCAAAGTGCATTAAACTAAAACATCAATTTAATTTACTGTAAGAAGAAAGAGCAATTTGATAATGATAACACTATATAAGAAAAGTACAGTTGTAATTAGCCGAATAACCTAGAATTTATTGGTTAAGCAGCCATGAAGATCATTCAATTGCATATATGTTGTTCTGGTACAATTCATAATATCTGAAACCATAACTATATAGACACTTAAAATGTCAACCACTCTTCGTTGATGCCATCATACTGAGAAAAGAGTCTAGCCAGTGTCACCTTGAGTCCATGAGATGACAGATCACCAAAATGACATCAGATGCAATGGACATCGTCAACCATTTGGAAAATTTGGTGTTCCATGCCATAATTACTCTATCGCCTTTCTACATATCTTACAAGCACATTACAATTGTAAGTAGTCACATCACAAACAATATCTTCTCTTTCTGGCAGTTTTCATTTCCAACAAGAGAAGCCAAGTCAGAAAAGGGAGAGGTTTGACCCGCTGAAAAGGGAGGGGGGGGGGG